GTAAGCAAAGGGTCATTCCAACTAGAAACAATGGAGGGAAAACTACTACCAAACAATTGGAACGTCGCCCATCTCAAATACTTCAACTTCCAACGATAGACAACTCCCGAGTCGTACTCTTTTTTCCCTTACCTGAGTTTTGTCCCAATTGGGTTTTCTCAGGGAGGTTTTTAATGAGGCAACGAAGATAGCGTCTCGAAGTTAAGTATAAGTTCATCGCTCGACCTCTCAACTACTTTTCCAGGTCGACCAATGAAGGGACTAGAAAAATATGTAAACTTCTCCAATGAATGTATAAACAAAGAGAAATACGCAAACACACGAATTTTCATTTCTACCAAATTCATATTTACACCAAGCTAAGAGTCAACATTCGACCTCGTTCGAATCACTTAAGAGTCAACATTCGACCTTGCTCGAATCGACTCACATTCGACCTCGCTCGAATCGACTCACATTCGACCTCGTTCGAATTTATTAACATTCGACCTCGTTCGAATCACTTAAGAATCAACATTCGACCTTGCTCGAATTGACTCACATTCGACCTCGCTTGAATTTATTGATATTCGACCTCATTCGAATTTATTAGCATTCGACCTTGTTCGAATCACTTAAGATTCAACATCCGACCTTGCTCGAATCGACTCACATTCGACCTCGTTCGAATTACTTAGGAGTCAACATTCGACCTCGCTCGAATTTATTAACATTTGACCTCGTTCGAATCACTTAAGAGTCAACATTCGACCTCGCTCGAATTGACTCATATTCGACCTTGTTCGAATTTATTAACATTCAACCTCGTTCGAATAACTTAAGAGTCAACATTCGACCTTGCTCGAATCGACTCACATTCGACCTCGCTCGAATTTATTAACATTCGGCTCGTTCGAATCACTTAAGAGTCAACATTAGACCTCGCTCGAATCGACTAACGTTCGACCTCGCTCGAATTAATTGACATTCAACCTTGTTCGAATTTATTAACATTCGACCTCGTTCGAATCACTTAAGAGTCAACATTCGACTTCGCTCGAATCGATTCACTTTCGACCTCGCTAGAATTTATTAACATTCTACCTCGTCCGAACCACTTAAGAGTCAACATTCGACCTCACTCAAATCGAATCACATTCGTCCTTGCTGGAATTAACTGACATTCGACCTCGTTCGAATTAACTAAGAATCAACATTCGACCTCGTTCGAATTAACTAAGAATCAACATTCGACCTCGCTCGAATCGACTCACATTCGACTTCGTTCGAATTTATTAACATTCAATCTTGTTCAAATCAACTAGCATTCGACTTCACTCAAATTAATTAACATTCGACCTCGTTTGAATCAACTAAGTCAAGAACACTTACAAAGGAAAAACATTCGAAGAAAAGCAAAAAGAGCCAAGAACATACAGCAAAAGTTATAGTCATTCCATTCCAAAAAATAAAGTATCCTACAAAGGGCTAGAAAGACGCCCCACCAAAAAAAAAAGAGAAAGAAAAGAGCAAAAAACTGCGTACAAGAAAATCACACTACGTCATCTCTGTCTGCGCCATCGCCACCTTCACCGCCCGCGCCATTAGCATACTCATCATCATATCAAGCATCAGATACAAGCCCATCCAAGTACTCTTTATCACCGCCGGTCCCTGGTGTGGCGGGATCATAACCACAAGCAAGCCTGGCATCACGTGCCTTAACGCGAGCATCTTCGAAGTCAGCCTCAGGAACCTTCCCCACCATCATCAAGTTCCTATAAATGTCCTGCTTAGCCTCGGCATAAATCCATATCTCGTATAAATCACGAGGAACGTCGGGGAAAGTAGAAGCATGAGAGGAAGAAGGTCGAGCCAACAATCGTGCCTTCTTAGCCTCAAGAGCGGCAACTTGCTCATTTAGATTCGAGACATCTTTCTCAAGCCCACCAATGCGCTCATCAAGTCGTGCCTCCCTCAGCATGGCCATTTCTGCATCAGTTGCACATTCAGACCTGAGGACACGAATAGTGTCCTCTAATGCCGCAACCTTTGCTAGAGCTGCCACCCGGGCCTCCTCGGTCCCCTCCAACTCTGCCGCTTTCCCAGTCAACTCACCACTCAGGCTGGCAAATCTAATTGAGCTTTTCTCAAGCTTAGCACGCTGGGACGTCACCTGTGCTTGAAGGTCGGCGCACTCGGCCACGACCCCCTTGCTCACCCCGAGCTCATCACCCTTGTCCCTAAGTAACTCCTAGAGCTTCCTGCATCTGCCAATAGTTCGCACAAGCTCCTCATCTTTTTGATCCTACTCCTCTCTAAGGGATTGGAGGTTACCCCCTGCTCTAAACCATGCACGCATCTCACGGTACTTGACGGACGTACTTCGAAACCATCTTCTGAAAAACAACCTTCCGCCTCTCTTCTCGGCGGGAACTCTCGATCTCCAAAATGAAAGTCTAAAAAAAAGAGAATAAGAAGAAAATTAGTAAAGATAGAAAGAGGAAAAAGACGCAATTTGCAAAAATAATGAAAGAAACTCACCCTCAGAGCCATCCAGGATATGCCTAGTGATAGGTCGGAAACCCAGAGAGCCAAAAGGGTCCTGTTATTGGCGGCAGATCAAAGAGGGGCAAAGGAGGGGACCATGCTAACTGTATCCTCTAACAAATCGCAGTCCAAAGGGATTACGATCGAGCGAGAGGATCCATCCATTCTCACCTCTACCCAAGTAGCCCTTAGTCGAATATCCTCACTTCCTCAGGGTCAACATCAGAGCCGGATTCATAATCATCTACGATCACTCTCTTCGCCATCTCCTCAGTCGAAGAAGGAACGTTGGCCTGCCTTGACGATGACGGATCACTCCTCGGAATGATCACAGTTGCTTCTGGTCGCTCCCCTTATTTCACGGAGGTGATCTCCACATTCGAAGGAGGCACGGTTTCTACATCCAAGGTCGTACCGCCCCTCAGCTCGGCCGTGGTCAACTCACGTTCACCCCCCGACGGCTCCTCTTCGACCACTCTTCCATCAACATCTATCATTCGCCTTTTAAGTGGAGCCTCTTCGTCTTTGCCCTGGTCTGACTCATCGACCAAGTAAAACATTGTAGAAGCCGGAATCTCCGCTATCGAGGCAGCGGCTTGGCGGCTAGGACCATGCGAGGTCGGGGTACAAGGAGTAACATCGGTCCGAGCAGGCTGACTTACAGCCACAACGAGTATGGGCCCGATCGAAGTACCTGACTTGCAAAAAGCAGGCATAGGAGCCCTCACCCTCCTTGAAGCCCTCCGACCTACCAACGAAGAAAGTAAATAAGAAACATAAGGAAAGAAAGGATGATACAAAGGTCAAAATTACTAAGAACAAAGCAAGGTGACTCACCAGCCACAGGCCTTCGCCCAAACCTCTCATTAAATTGCGACCACTCATGAATCTCCACTGTGTGAGGTAAAATCTAACTCACCTAGTCGCGAATGTCGACAACTAGCGAAGGAGGGTCCCTCTCGTCTACAAAAGAAGTAAAGGAGAATGATCATATCGCCAAAAAGAAACAACAATCATTTGGGAGAAAACACTTACGAGCAAAGTTCCATTCCTTGGGGAATTCGCTGGGGTTCGATACCACGTGCTCCATCCTCACGTAGAAGAAATTGGCCCAAAAAATGGCGATTAGTTTTATCGTCCATCTTTACCACCAATCCTTTGGTCCCATGGTGGCGCAGGTGTATCGTCGTGCCCTATGAAAACTTGGGGCGAAGAGGTGAAGCAGATGGTGGAGAGAAACACCACGGTTGGCCAGCTCCGCGTACTTGATAAGCATAAGGAAAAGCTTGTATATGTACAGAAGAGCTGAGCCGGACACACACCGTAATAACGACAAAAATCCTCCGCCAAGGTAGGAAGAGGAAGTGTATAGCCGACAACGAACGGGTACGCGTAAAATGCACAGTTGTCTGGGCGATGTACCTGCACTACATCACTGCCAGCAGGGATAAGTTAGACGTGAGTCGGGATTCGCCATTTAGCCCTAAATGCAACGAGCACTGTCGTATCAATATCAGAAACGACAGGGTCAGGATCACCCTCGGGTAGGTTCTTGAAATCTGACCTGCCTTCCCTGAACGTGGAATTATCTCATCCACGGTGGGGAATTCTCGTCTTCTACCATGGCTGCTCCTTCTTCATGAGGAGGCATGTCCACAGCCAAAGCTACAGGATTAGAGGCTCCCTCGAGATTAGATGACGCACTAGCCACTTTTCTGATTAAGTATGAAAAGGAAATGCAAAAGTGAAAAAGATGACAATGGAGGAAAACGCTAAAGGGAGGAAGAAAACACATGTGCAGAAAATTTAAAGAAGAAGGAAAAGCTTGGGGTTTTAAAAGCTTAAGAAATGCAACAGCTCAAGTAAGAAATGCCCATCCCTATTTATAAGAATATGGGCACCCTAATCGAGAAAGCCCAACACCGCCTCATTAATTTCTAAACGGAAGAGGCGCGGGAAACGACGTAACGTATTGGGAACATGCGCCATAATGACGCATGATGAAATGACGTAATTTCAAACGGTCAAATGTGGCTCCTGAAGCACCACGTCATCACCTCGCCATAAAAGGGTCGCTCCTCGGCCAACGTGCTCAGATTTCTCAAAATTGCAACTGGCGAAGTCCACCCATCGAGTTCGTCCAAAGACAACCCCGACGGGCGGAAGGACTAACTGTTTGGGTCAAAATCTGATCAAGGGGACCTCGCCTGAAAGAGGGTAATCAAGAATCAATTAGGCCGAGGTCATGCTTAAGAAGTAACAATGGCGACCCTAGCAACTAAGGTCGAGGTCGAGCACTAAGATCGGCCAAAACGGCTAATTTAGCAATAAGATATTTTAAAGGAACATTCTGCAGAATATTCTCTGCACTTGTACTTTGAGTAGGTAAGGGATATGTCCCGTATAAGAAGGAAGAGAGAGAGAGAGAGAGAGAGAGAGAGAGAGAGAGAGAGAGAGAGAGAGAGAGAGTNATGCATTTTTACCTCCTCTCTACTTGCATGCATCTGGAAAGGCAATGACCTGCCAAACCTTATAGATGAGAGTTTTTGGAGCGATGAGACATTCTGCAGAGAAAACAAGGTACTTGTTACTATTTGTTAACCTTCATTCTTCATTTTGTCTAAAAATCAGAGGGAATACGAATAAAATTCAGACGTATACATTTAATAAGATCATACTCATTCTAAATCACTTATTCTATATTTGGGACTATATTCACTTATGCTAAGAAGAGCTCTTTTTTAATCTTCTCGATTATTAAATATTTTCATGGAAAAGCAGCTTTGGCTAGCATTGGCCAAGACCAGGGCAGAGAAAGCTGCTTGGGATAAAGCAAGGGAGATGAAGGTGAAACTTGTTACTTTATGTCCTGGACTTCTCATGGCACCATCTTTCCCAAATGCTCATCTTGAAACTTCTATTCCATACCTCAAAGGTAACAAATCAATCAAGACGAATCTATTACTTACATTTTACCAATTAAATTGGAGATTGGAATAAAGAAGTGATGATTGAATAAAAGAAAAACCACTAGTAAGAATATGGATGGAGTCTCGCTCAGTAAAGAGAGTTGTAGGATTCGTAAAACAGGAGAAGAGCCTTACTTTCAAATGACAACTGCTTCTTCCCATCACTTAGGTGTAAGACTCCAATCTCAAATTTTTTTTTTTAACTTGAAACACGAGTCACCATTTTATTGCCACTGTGCGCGGACTAGGCTTTACCTTCATATACATTTGGGAGCCTGTACTAGCACGATTCAAGATTTGTAAACATAACAGTTCCATTGCTACGAACAAACTGGTTGACCCCAAAATCAACTGGCAATAAAGCTAGGAGTTCAAGGTGGCTCGAACATGAGCATGCATGGTCTCCTCTTCTTGACTCGAAAAGAAGGCAATCTCGAATTAGTTATGGGTTGGGAACTCACTTTAATTAGCTGACCCCAAACTAATTATAGATGGAGGACGTAGTTGATTGATTGATTGATTCATTTACTAACTCGAACAAATGTAAATTATAGGAGGTCATTTCATGCTACGGCAAGGACTTTTAGCAACTGAAGATGTTAGTAAAGTGGCAGAAGCACATATTTATGCTTATGAAGATATGGACTATGGAGCCTATGGAAGATATATTTGCTTTGGAAAAATAATTGGAACAATGGAAAAAGCCATACAACTTGAAAATGGCTTGAATATGCATGGTCAGTTATCTGGGGATGAAAACCTTCTTTCAGTAGAAGTGGACAACGATGAAATTCCTCCCAGAATTACTAAGTCAAAGCTCAGTAGGTTACTATTCCGTGCGTCACAACGCCGTTCTTGCAAACGGTGATTAGAAAACCGTTACTGTAATTTATATCTCTCATTTTGCAACGGTTTTATGCGAATAGCTTAATCAATTTTGAATATAAATTGAGTTTCTGTATTTTCGTTTGCTCTCTGTTTGTAAAAAAAAAGGCATAATTACTGTTACGCGGCGCCTTCCTGAGATTCCTTGGAAGGGCGACGTAAGGCTAGGCAACTGATGTCAATGCAGTTGCTGTCCGCCAACTGAGGTCCCCTCCGTACGCTAGACGAGATAGTCAGTGCCGTACGGGAAAACCAATGTCAAGAGCAATTGAGAGAACAGAAATGAGAATTCAGAATGAAAGAAAGTTTGATTGCATTAATGAAAGCTATTACAGAAAAGCAACGTGGTGTCGAGGGGGAGAGACACCAGTACAGAGAATTGCTTGCTTGCTAGAAAGTTTTGATTGCTTGATCCCTCCTAATAGTACTTAAAAAAAATAATCCAAAGTTACAAGACTAGACTTGACTAAGCTAGAGAAACATAATGGAAGTACATGAAATAAAACTACTCTATATTTACAATGAAAATGACTTAGTTTTCTATAAGGCAGCAGCAGGTCCGTTGTCAGCAGCAGTGTCTTTGGCATCACGGTCTGCGCGCGCGGCGTTGTCGCTTGCGAGGGATATCGGTGGGGCAACAGAGGCACCTGCGCGCTTGTCACTTGGCGCGGCCAAGACCACGGGGCCGTCAGTGGCGCTAGGCATTGGGAGGTTTGCTAGGACGCCACGGGGCGCGCCCAAGGGGTCATGGGGCATGGCTGGAAAGCCGCCCATGACATTCTCCCCCACCTGAGTTGGCGACGTCCTCGGCGCCTTACTTGCAAAATAATCTTCAATGAGGCTCTTGTAGGCTTTGAGGTTTGTTCCCCTCTCCCAAGTATTCTCTTCTGCATCACAGCCCTGCCATTTCACCAAAAACTCTTGGTGATCTTTCCTTGAGGCATGAATCACTCTGTCATCAAGGATAGCTTCAACACGCCTTTTCCCGGTTGAATTGGGACCTCGAATACTGGGTATTGTGAGCTGGCTCCTTGAAGGATCCTCCGTGTCTTCCCGAAAAGGTTTCAGGAGACTGACATGGAAGACAGGATGAATTTTCCACCAAGCTGGGGTATCCAGCCGGTATGCAACCTTCCCAATACGCTTTTCAATGGACAAGGGTCCAATGTATTTTTGCAATAGGCGAGGGTCATGGACCCCTGCAAATAAGTACCGCTTTGGAATTTTGACCATCACTTTGTCTCCTACTTGATATTCAACAAAGCGACGATTCTGATCAGCATGCCTCTTCATCCGCTTTTGGGCTTTGACAAGATAGCTCCGCACTATCTCCAAATTCCGCCTCCACTCTTTTGAGAAGCTGGCAGCTCGAGGAGATTTAGCCATGTTTGGTGCATTCACAGTGTGTGGGAGTAGCGGTTGCTGTCCGGTAACAATTTCAAAAGCGCTTTTGTTGGTACTAGAGCTCTTTTGTGAATTGAAACACAGTTGAGCAGCATCCAGAAGCTTCACCCAATTCTTCTGCGATCCGGTTATAAAGTGGAGGAGATATTCCTCCAACATAAACCGCTCCGTCTGGCCATCAGATTGCGGATGAAAACTTGAGCTGTGACTCAATTTTGACCCAAGGCACTTGAAGAGTTGGGTCCAAAAGTTGCTAGTGAAGCGTGAGTCGCGGTCACTAACAATGTCTTTGGGCAGGCCCCAATATTTGACGACATGAGAGAAGAAGGTCCCCTCCGTACGCTAGACGAGATTGTCAGTGCCGTACGGGAAAACCAATGTCAAGAGCAATTGAGAGAACAGAAATGAGAATTCAGAATGAAAGAAAGCTTGATTGCATTAATGAAAGCTATTACAGTAAAGCAACGCGGTGTCGAGGGGGAGAGACACCAGTGCAGAGAATTGCTTGCTTGCTAGAAAGTTTTGATTGCTTGATCCCCCTAATAGTACTTAAAAAAAATAATCCAAAGTTACAAGACTAGACTTGACTAAGCTAGAGAAACATAATGGAAGTACATGAAATAAAATTACTCTATATTTACAATGAAAATGACTTAGTTTTCTATAAGGCAGCAGCAGGTCCGTTGTCAGTAGCAGTGTCTTTGGCATCATGGTCTGCGCGCGCGGCGTTGTTTGCGCGCGGCGTTGTTTGCGCGCGCGGCGCTGTTGGCTTCTGCCCGCGGCTTGGCGCCCGCGAGGGATATCGGTGGGACGACAGAGGCACCTGCGCGCTTGTCACTTGGCGCGGCCAAGACCACGGGGCCGTCCGTGGCGCTAGGCATTGGGAGGTTTGCTAGGACGCCACGGAGCGCGCCCAAGGAGTCATGGGGCATGGCTGGAAAGCTGCCCATGACATTACTCATCTCTGACGTTAAAATGGCTTTCTTAGTTTTTGGGTTATTTATAGCTATATCACATAGAGAGGTGAAGCAAAAATTGAGATGGCATTACTTATCGGATAATTGAACCCACATAAAATTGGCTCAAAACGAAGTTCTAAAACAAGGGAAAGCTGTTAGAAAATGAGAGATGACCATAACCTTAAATTAAAAGGTTAAAATTCATGCACTTCTCAAACAAAGATTATTAAGATATAAAATTGTCCATATTAAAAGAAATAAATGATGAAATATTATCATTTGGGAGTAGAGGAGATACTAGGGCTACAACAATTTAACAATCTGAAGGCGGGGGAAGTGCAGAAAATTTTCATTTAACATGTTGGCACGTCCCTGTTTAGGGCAATCTGGTCTAAACAATTTCAATTGACGCACTTAAAATCTTAATAATTTATCACTTTTGTCTTATTCTCTTTTATTTATAGTTAGCTAACAATAATTAAACTCTTTTTGTCACTCCATATACGAGTCCGAAACCAAAATGTTGCTATTTTGGACTCAAAACACATAAATAGGTGTAAAAAGAAAAGGTAACAAAAATATATATAGCGCCAGAAATAGTGGCGCTATATATAAACGGTAACAGCACCGTTAATATATAGCGCTACTATTTCTGGCGTTATACACTGACAGTGACATAGCGCCAGAAAGAGTGGCGTTATATCCTTTTTTCCTTGACCAGTACAATAATTCAAAATAAAGGCGCCAACTTATTTGGTCGCTATATATGTAAAAAAAAAACCTAACCGGCTCCCACTTTCTATATAAGAGTTAGAATCGCATAGAATAGCATTCAA